TTTTGTGAGATGGAGGAGGACTTTGTGGATTGGTATTGGACATATGGGTTAATGGGTTAATGCTGGACTTGTGGGCTTGGGCAGCACTGGGTTGGGATGTTTTCTTGATGTACACTTAATCTTTACATAAAACTCTCTCTTATACATGAGTTTTTGTGGATTTGTTTCTCTAAAGTACCCAGACTAATATAACTTCGTAGCATTTTACTGTGCTATCACCTAATTAAATTTCCTAGTTTCTAAAGGATGACTCGTTGGTAGTAATAATAAGAATAAAATGGACCCAAGTCTACTGTCGAATGGCTACCTAAGAAGCTTTGGTACTGTCCTCTCCTCAGATCCCTGCTCAGTGGGCGAGCCCCTCCAACCCAGGCACTTCACTGTGTCGCAGGCTCACCAGAGCCATGCATGACTGCCTAAATCCCACTGAACAATTACTAAGTCCCAGGCCTGATTTACAATGACGTCTTTAAAAAGAAACCCTGGCCTTACTTGGCTTGTAGATGAACCATATCTCAAACCTTCCCAAAACTTCTCCAAAGGTCACGTTGGTATGAGGTAATAGACGTGAAATTTCTACCTAAAACCCCCTCAGCCCAGTAAACAGAACAATATGCTCTGACCCCAGGTTATATAATAGCTAATGGATTTAGTAAGCCAATGTTTTGTTTTGTCTTTTAAATCAATATGTGATTAAAGCTGTACATTATTTTGGATTGCTACCAAAAGAGAGGCTTTTTACCATTAGCTAGAACTGAAATAAACAATAGCCAGTTCATTAAGAAACTATTAGATTCATTGTTATTACCTAAAGGATTGCCCCTCACTAAACTATAAGCCCACAAAAAGAAACTTACTTCTGTAGAAAACAAAACTTTACAAAATTCAAAAAAAATCTCACTGCCACAAAGTTGATTCTGACTCATAGGGTCACTGTGAGTATGTTTGTAGAAGTTAACGGAAATGACATATCAGATTGTAGGTCAAAAAGGCAAATCAAAAAACCCAACTCACTGCCGTGAATCCACTCCCACGAGTCCATCCCGACTCCCCGCTTCCCTCTAAGAGGGCAGAACTGCCGTGTGGGTGTCTGAGGCCGTGAGACGGAATGGCAGTAGAGAGCTCATCTTTCTCTCAGAGCAGCTGGTACTGTGAACTGCTAACTGGCAGGTAACAGCCCAATGCACAGCCCATTACACCACCAGGGATCCTTATGACAAAAAGGCAGCTACACAAATGTGTGCAAATACTCAGAAAGTTATACGACAGAAATCACGGTGCTACACCTAATTACATTTCTCAGTTTCTAAAGTATGAATTAATAAGCAAATAAAAATACGAAGAACCTTGAGAGACATCTCCATAGACAAAGAACAGAGGCATGAAAGATGCAAACTCTGAGCGCCAGTTTGGGCCGTCGAGTGTCTGCCCTCACGTCTGTTACAGAAAACTTGTCACTATACTATGTATACCTTATGCAAAACTATTAGTGAGGGAAATTTCCGAAAGCAGCCACAGATGTTTACAATGCTTGCCCCATCTGTCCTTTGTCTACTCCAGGAAAACACTTCAACCCACCCCTCCCCATTTTCTCTCGCCTTCACAGCCCCTTCTCAGGGAGAACAATTTGCTTTAAGAATGATCTGCATGTTCTTTCATGGAGCAGAAGTCGCTCCTGGAAGGAAAGCAACTGCCGCTGTCATAGTCAACCAG